TCTAGGAGTGGTAAGAAGTTTAGGCTCCTAGGGAGATTACCATACCATACTATACTATAAAACCCCATGCATTCTCCCGCCCCACCTTCCCCTTTTTTTATTCTTCCGTTCTCTTTAGTTGTTGTAAATTCTGTTACGGATACTGACGAGACAGGCGTACAGACCAGCAGATGCTCACACCATAGGTGTTAAACCCAATGTCACATGTAACCCAAAGTACTTGTCAATGCAATCATTCTCTACAAATGTAATCTAATGCCATGTCAATGTATGCTACTCGATATGTACCAAGTTTATGTTAATCCGGCACTTGAGATGTTCAATATATAAGCCGTAATTTAAAGCCGGACGTTTCATACTGTCTGGTATCCTTGTGGAAAATTCAATAAATATCAAACATTGAAAAAAAAAAAGAAGTTTGGGCTATATGTTTGTTTAAGGTTTCTGGGTACATGGACTCCCAGGTATAGAAACATAGAATGTGACGGCAGATAAGAGCCATTTGGCCCATCTAGTCTGCTCAATATTTTGAAATACTTTTAATTAGTCCCTGGCCTTATCTTAAGTCTAGGATAGCCTTATGCCTATCCCACTCATGCTTAAACTCCCTCACTGTGTTAACCTCTACCACTTAAGCTGGAAGGCTATTCCATGCATCCACTAACCTCTCAGCAAAGTAACACTGATATTATTTTTAAACCTTTGCCCCTCTAATTTAAGACTATGTCCTATTGTATGTGATGGAATTTGTAGCCTTGGGTCTCTGAAGGAGATTCGCAATCTAAGAATTAGGCTTTTTGTCTATTGAGTTAACCAAGGAGTAAGAATTAGAATAATCAAAGAATGAAATTATTAAGATATTAAAATACAGCTTAGAATACAATATTGAGTTATTTTTTTTCTCTCTTTTTATTTATTATATTAGTTATATTTTATTGTTAGTTCTCTGGGGATATTGTGAATTTCACACATAAAGGAGATTAGTATTATCTATGAGTAATATAATGTTATAGAAGTGTAAAATGTTATGAATGAATCAAAAACTTGTATTGTATCCCAAAAATTGTAAAATTGTATAAAATAGCATAAACATAAAAAAAGTTTTAAAACTTTACTAACGCAGGTCCTTTCTGAGAAAGTAGTTGAAACTCTCCAAACGTCAAGGAAACAATCTACATCTTGTTTCTACAGAATCTAGGAAACGTTCAAAGCATGGGCTTCTTCAAAATTCTTTGACTCTAGTAATCATCTCACAGCCTGGCATTTTTACAGTCAGGACTAGATAAAGGACTACTGTTCAGCATTCTTAAAGTCCCATCATCAGCTTTATCTGCACTCTACAATACATCTTAGACTACACACCCTTGTTTCAAAAGTTTTCAAAGCAACAATGAGAATTAATCATCCCTCAAGAAATACCTCTCCACCTTGGGATCTTCCCTTAGTTCTACATTTTTTGATAGATCCACCATATGCTCTCTTTCTTGTTGCAATTACCACTGCTAAACACATTTCTGAACTTCAAGCTTTTTCATGCCAAGACTCCCATATTTTAATTTTTCACAGAAGTTTGGTCATTAAGGGGTTAAAGACACAGAGGCAATGTGTCAGGTGACAGTAGAATCAGAGACGACATGGCTGCTCTGCCAGATTTTTTTTTAAAAAGTTAAATTTTTCTCAAAAAAGTCAATATACAATATTTAAAAAAATATCAAGTTTCATTAAATGTTAAAAAAGAAAAGTGAAATTTTGATGACAGTTGTCCTTTAATTCTACTTGTATGTTCATTCTGTCTTCCCTATAATCCTTTTGCTCTTCTGTACTTAGTTTCTGTCTTTTCTCCCCTTTCTGTTATATGTCTGTCTTTTTGATTGCCATTTACTGACACCGTATTGTTTTCCCATCTACCTGTTTTGTGTTTTGAAGGTTCCATGCGGTCTCTGGCTTTTTGTCTCTGTTTCATTTTCACCATGTTCCTGCTCTTGCCTCTTATAATAAAAAATATTTAAAAACTCACCATACACCAAAAATATTTAAAAACTCGCAGTACTGTAGTTTCCTCTCCCCTGCTTCCACAACAGCATAAACTCATTTATGATCAATGATGGCAATCTGGATAAGCTGTTGAGTGCAACTGGACTTGTGTAGAGTTTACCCATGCTCCTGTGAGAAGTTGGAGAGTCTAAGATTGAACACCATTGATTGATCAAATCAGCCATGAGATCAGGTGCGCATAAAAGTCAAGTGTATCTGAAGAAGATGTGCTCCACAAACACTGTGTGCCTTCGGGAAAAGCTTCCCTGAGAACAAATCACATTTCTTTTAATCTATGCTTCAACAAATCAATCCACAACAAATATTTGTGTGAGGTATTAATCCCTCAACTTCTGTAAATGTCAATTCTTCTTTTCAGATTGCTTCCCACCTTTACATGTCTATCAATGGACCTTGAAGGGAATCCTCACAATCTGCAACAATCTTCAAACACATATTTTTATGCTTGATTTCATAACTGATTTCAGGGGACCCTGGTCTATCAATGGTATTCAACAGTCAACTCTCCAACTTCTCGCAGAAGAATGGGTTCCTGGAACCAGAAGATCTAAGAGAAATGCATGTAATGCAAGGAGTGGGAGTTGCATGAACAACCAACAGGATCCCCTATCTTGTGTTTTCTTACTCTTATCGGTTTTATTGGGTGTCAGTCATGTCTTATCTCTGTTTAAGTCATGGCATGACAATTCTGGCCTTTATTTGAAATAATGTACAGCAAAATTATCTCTGCCCTTTTGCCTTACATTGTGTAGGAGGGTGCCAGATGTTTGTGCCCTTGATTTTGATGTTTATTCCTTGTCATACCTCCAAATGGGTCATGTAGTCACTGCTTCTCTGCATTCAGCTGATACAGAATGCTTGCATGCTGCTCCTCTTCATTCAGCCAATGCCAGATGTTTGCATGCTGCTTACTTGCATTCGGGAAACATCAAATGCCCACACTCTACTCATGTTTTTGCACAACTAGGGGGCCATGTGTACTGCCATTCAATGTTACTCTGACTTCATTACTGATGCTGAATGCTGCCATTCCACTCTATTTATGCCCACAGTGAAGCCTGACCATTAGTAGGCAAACACCTTTGAGTCATTATTACACATGTTGTACATAATAGCTCTCCAATCAGTGGATACTTGCCACAGGCCATATTAGCCCTTCTCTGATCTCACTTCCTTACCCTATCATGGTCTCAGTAGTCCGAGAGTCTGTACTAGCGTTCAGAATGTTTTCTGGTTTTTACTTGGCTATGTATTTGGATTACTCTTATCCCTGGAATCCTTAGCCCTTGGCTTAGTATACTCTTTCCTGTAATACTTACTCCTATTTTGACAATAGCCTGTTTATTGTTATCTTTGTTTTCTCTCTGGATTATATTCTGTACTTCTTATGTTAAGACCAGCAACTCTAAGGTCCTGTAATACATGCTGCCTTAGTGTAAAAAATATATACTGTTTCCTCATGCTTGCATGTTGTTGTAGTATCTTGAAAACTCCTTTACCACAGGAAGTGTCTCTTTTGATATTTACTATCAAATGAAGATGCTCTCTATGTTAGTCTTCTACATATTTCTGAATGGATTTATTAAAATACACCTATTGTGTGCCTTTGTTTATCCCTTTTCTTTTAACCACATCTTCAGGTGTCTCCTTCTATGTTGGGTCAAGTGGATCATATCTTAAGCTGGAATGGACACCTCTGTCTATATGCACAATTCTTTTACAAGGAGCTATGGCTTCCAGAGCATCTGCTGTAGGATTTCATCTGGATGATATCTTGAAGGCATTGGACTGGTCCTCAGGATATAGTTTTTGAGATTTTTATTTCTGTCAACATTTTCTGAATTGGTTATCTCTCACCTTTAAACGAACAAAATACGTTTAAAAAAAATAACCAGACTTTACTAGTACTGTGGCATAAAGTAATGATTTCATTAAAGACACATAGACACATTTTAAAGGTGAAAACTTTTCAAATCGAGCTATTAGCCATGTCTACACATCAAGAAATTAATTTAAAGGTGCTTCACTATTCATACTATAACCTTGGCATGTGCAATGGACAGAAAGACAGGTAGAAAATGTTTTAAATGATTTACAAATCATGCAGGCATGTATCATGCTTTCTGGAGAAGCCCAAAAATTAGAAAATTCCAGGTAAAGCTAACCACATTTGACCAGTCATAAATTGCCCAGTCTCTATCTGAGACCTGAGTTTCTCATATTGGATCCCATCCCTAACCAACACTACCTTGGAAAAAAGTACACTACAATTATAGCGACGGTAAACCGAAAAAAGATTTATTAGAGGTGTGAAGCTTACTTACCGGTACCTTCTTCCTTATGTTACTAATAATGATATTTAAAGGGTTAAAAATTCAGTACGTGGCTACTGTAAATAGACAGACTATTTTAGAAATAGCAATTTTACCACATGACAGGAGGCTTCATATTTGCATATCTTTCTTTACTGAAAACTCCAGCAGCATAGAAACATAACAACCAATCAGAAAAAAGTTATGATGCCCATAAAAGGCCCTGTCTATGACATCACTCCCTCTTTCTTTGCTGCTCCAGCCATACATCAGGTCAGAGTATTTTACCTCTCTGGTAGATTCTTAATTTACACTGTTTTTTTGATTGTCATACCACTATATATTACTCTATTTATTGCTAACACCTGCTACCTTGGCCCCCCTTATTCCTGTCCCTTCACTGTATCCCTCTGTTTTTTTTTGTTTGTTTTTTTCCCCTTTTTATTTCCACCTTACTGCCTGGTATCCGCAGGGGACTGTATGGGGACGGGTGGAGGGAGGCTGGGGTCAGTGTTTGTGTTGCATTTATCCCCTTTGTTTTGCACCGCGCGACCACGATCCGCGGTGCACCTTCACATGTGGGCGGCGGCCATCTTGGATCTCACGGCTCGCGAGATACCGGACGGCCGCCTTCCCTGCTCGCTCAGCGGATCGGGAACTCACCCGACCGCCAGGCTCCACAAGCGTATGCTCTCCCAAGTGAACAATGGGAGAGTACAAGCTGGATTTCAGTTTTTTCTCCATGTATTCTTTCAATGTATTTTGCCACAGTGCCTGCCAACAGTGTCTGCCAAACAAATACTTACATGCAGGCATTAAAGGAGATTATGTCTTTGTACCTTACTCAGGGTCTATACCCTATACAGGGTCATACCATATTACTATACCCTGCACAGGGTCATACTATATTACTATATCCTACAGGAATCACCCGATCACCGCGCCCTGCATCTGGATTAACCCCTTCAGGGATCCCCCTCTCTGGGCACATTCATTCATTGATACAATTATTATTTTTTTATTCTCATGGATATATCTCTCATGGTGCCTTACACTGGATGATTATATGTTGAGCAGGCACACAATCTATGTATTATTGTGAAGCCATACAATATCACAGTCGTTATACAAAACATATACTGTACCTATAACAAGATCAACTATATCACTGTACCCTACGAAGGGCATATTGTGTTACTGTACCCTACAAAGGGCATATTATTTTATATTATTGTACCCTACAGAGGGTCATATTATATTACTGTACCTGATGGTGCAAATTTATGTGGGTGTCCTCTGGGTATTTTTTCATGGCACACCACCTGGGGTGACCCCCAGATATGCATGCAAGGTCACTGACAGACCATTACCTTTGATGTGGGTGTCCTCTGGGTTACCATGGCACACCACCCGGGGTGAACCCCGATCATATGCACGGAGGCCTACGCCGCAACTTTACCACTGATTACTACAGACATATATGAATGTTTAAACACTGCCTGTCAGTTTTACATTAAAGCAACAGTACCATGCCGGATGCGATTTGACTGCAGGATCAAGAAGAAAACTGAGTGTATTGTGGTGTACCCTTCACAGGGATACATATATGTATATTTATTGTGCCTAGTGTACATATTGAACGTGGGTGTCCTCTGTAATTATTCATGGCACACCACCTGGGATGACCCCCAGATATGCATGCAATGCTTGTAAGGTGCCAATAATTATAATATGGGTGTCCTCTGGGTTACCATGGCACACCACCTGGGATGAACCCAGCCTAATAGACATGGGTCCTGCGGCCGCAGACCTTATGGAGACAGGCCCCATGCGCCTATATATAATAAGCCTGTATAGTTAAAAACCGTGCATACAGCTCTGGCGTACATTTGTGGTAAACCCGGCTAGCCAGACCGACACCACTACCAGTCAGTCGCGCCTGCACCACGGCTCTCAGTAGCCAGATTAAACTAATAGAGGTGACCCCTCTATACTTGGCACGAGTATTCATACTCTCAGACATACTAAAGCAGGCAATTCAAACCGTTTTACCTGGGTGATCCCCAGTTCTACCAGGAGTCTAACACCCCTACGTGCTGACCCTCACACTATCTCCCAACAGGACGGGAACGAGTCATGGTGGACACTCTCAACGTTCCCAAGATTTCTAGGCAATGCTAAACGCCACAGTAACGGCCTCAGTGGAGAGGGTTCTGTTATGAACTCTACCCCACACTTCTTGATGGAGACCTCAGGCCCACAAGCCTTTAAGTCAAAACGGCAAGGGAAGGGCTCCAGTCCCCCTGCCGCTAAGGTCAAGGGCAAGACGCCCATCGATCAGACCAAATAGGCGGAGCACAGGGAATCCAAACCTCGTCCGCCACAATCTTCCGACAAAGAAGACTATTACCCACCACGTACTTTGGACATGGTAGATGAGCGACACGAAGACAGCTCACCGTCTGAGGAAATGGAACGGCAAGACCTTCCCCACACTTCCTCGAAGTACGTTAGGGAAACCTTAATCTGTGACGGCGGCTGAGGCAGAGATAACTGTAGCGGCACTAAACCAGAGTAGCCGAAGACGGAACGTTCCTGGACGAACACTATTGGCTGCGCAACCCTCGGGGGATGGAAGGATGCGCACGCCTCAAGACCGAGTTACCCCAGGGTACACAACTCAACCCTACCACCTCCAAAGAATGGTCTCAATGCTCGATATGCCTCCTGGGCAACGTAATATTGGGCTTAGGAACGACAAGAATTCGGCCAAAAAGCACAAGGCCTACTATTCGACGTAGTGTTCATTGCAGTACTCAAAAAACACGTGAATTTATTCACCACACTAAATTAAACCCAGACCTCGCTAAAACAAGTCTTCCACAACCCTACGGGGAAAGGTGTTTCTGGGAGGACTGGTCGGTAGCTGAACTGAGCCACCAGCCACTCCTGGGCGACAGGTTCCAGATCGTATACACAGTCCTCATATTTCTCCCATCTACTACACAAAGGAACCCATCCGCTTCATCTACTAGTGTGTTAACCTACATAACTAACTGTTTCCAATATTATGACCGGCAACCTGTCTCTGTTTTACAGAATTGGGAGACGACTACCAAAGTCACCTGGGTTCTCCAGACAGTACAAGGCTATGTCATAGAGTTTTATCACAGCCGTGCAGGTCGCCCCTTCACCTCCATTACGCACGCTGGCGGAACAGGAACGCCTTGTGGACAAGAAAATCTGCACCCTCTTCAGGAGGGGCGCAATTCAACATGCACCGGAGGGGAAGGCTTCCCCAGCAAATTTTTCCTGGTCAAGAAGAAGCCAGGAGACTACATCAATGGAACTCCTACATGGTATACAAATGCTGCAAGATGGATGAAATTCGTCTTCTACAAGACCTCCTAGGTGATAACGACTGGTTTACATATCTGGACCTCAAGGACGCACGCTTGTCAGTACTGCTGAAGTTTTCCTCCGATTCCAATGGTGAGGACAAACACGGCAGTTTACGACTCCGTGGTGCTCGCGAACCTACTGTAACCAGTGAGGGCACACATCCGTAAATTTGGGCGTGCGATGCCTCTTATACCTGGAAGACTTGCTGATTCTTTACGAACCCAGGCTACGTTTGCAGACAAATTTGTCGTTCACTTTCGGGACTCCATGTGTTTTTTGTTGTACACAGACAAAGATCGCTTCCCCATCTGAATCGGGCCAGTTCCTCGGTTTCGACATCAGCTTGGAGAACTACGTTCCGCGTCTGTCTACGGCAAAGAGCGCCTCTATAAGGATAGCTGCCGGATTGTGGGATTCCTCTCCTCCTCTCCTCCTCCATACAAGCGTTATTCCCTGGCCCACTACGACTGATGGTGAGATACGTACGCACCGGTCACTCATACGACACTGGATCCCACTGTCAGCGGAAGAGAGGATGGAATTTCGATGGTGATTACTTCACATACAAACTTGGATTGGCAAAACGACCTTTGACTCTTCCTTCGGATACGGGGCGATGGATGAACCCCTGCAAACGCGACCCAGCCGTTCTCCACAATAGCAAGGGTGCTTCGATACACACACACACCCACAAGATATCGCTCCTGCTCATGACACCCCTCGGTCAGGGCCAACTGTGATTTCCCGGATCGCCTGGAGATGTCTCGCGAAGACCCTCTACAACTCCCTACCTTCCCTCTACTTCTGACGGGACCTCGAGGGGAAACTCACTCCCTTGTCATGGAAGGACAACTGGCACTAGTTGCCTGGACGGCTTCAGGGGCTCCTGGTCAGTTCACGACCTATTGCATCAACTAAGACCTCCTATGGGACTCATAGGCTCCCGGCACCAGGAAAGGCTATATTTCTGCCTGGTCGGCCTGGAGTGATTGGTGTGTGGAAAGGGATTCCGATCCCTTTACCGCACCTATCTCACTGATCCTCAACTATCTGTCACACCTGGTCTCGTTGGGTCGGTCATATCGATCCCTCAACGTGATCAGATCCGCCATATCGGCGGCGCACGTTCCGGTACAGGGCAGACCAGTAGGTCAAGATACACTGGTTTGTCGACTACTGCGGGGTGCCGAATTGTCGAGATCCCTGCACCCAAATATTCACGCCTCTGGCAGGTGGATGTGGTGCTGAGATTCCTTAGGGAATGGCCGGACAATCCTTGTTTGTCACTGAAGCAACTTTCAGCCAAACTAGCCCTCTTATTATGCCTCGCCTCATTTAGACGGTGGCGGACGTTAGGGCTTGCGATATGGATGGTTTCTCTCTCACACCAGACGGGGTTACCTTTACCATGTCGAGACGAACTAAGTCTGATTCGTCTTCAGTGTCATACCCATGCTTTGTGTCAGACGCCACACTATGCGTGGTCAGAACGCTAATGGGGTACACCAATATCTCTACCCCCTTCGAACTCATTCGACGGATCACCTTCTGACTTCTTACGTGAACCCTCATGGACCGGTGTCTACCGCAACACTGGCCAGATGGGTCCGCTGGTTTTTGTCTTTAGCGTCGAACCTTGTTTCGGAGCCCACTCGGTCAGGGGAGCGGCGGCCTCACAAACCTTTTCGGCCGACGCTTCCCTAGCCGACATTATACGCTGCGCGGACTGAGCGCGAGAGAGTACGTTTAGAACGTTCTATTTTCGGCAAACATCTCATGCTTCCTTCACATTGGTCAATTCAAAGCTTTAAAAATGCAAATATGAAGCCTCCTGTCATGTGGTAAAATTGAAGATTATATTAGCTTTAGTGTACTAATAATCTTAATTTTAGTAATGACAGGAGGCGAATATTTCCCACCCTATAGGATCCCTCCCATGTTTCTCGTGTTGAACAGAATATGTCCTTTATGTTCAGGAAGGTAAGTACGTATGGTTTGTATGTTTGCTACTTAGACCTGTACCTTGTGGGTCTTGTATTGGCTGAATATTAGACATGAACCTTGCATTATGTTGTGTTTATAGATCCTTAAATATCATTGCGTTAGAATAAATATATATTGATATGTTTCACATTCTAATGTTCGTTGGTATATCAGATGCTTATGCTTATTGTATACGGACAAGTTATCACGCCAGATACCTTTCACCTTTGTCTTTTTCTTGCAGCGTGAACGTCTTCTCATCGAGACAAAGATTCACCTTCCATACCTCTGCATCGCGGAACTAATGGTGTTGGATATTCTAATATGTTGTTGAACTAATGACGTAATATGATTATGTCTCTTGTTGTTATTTATTGTTTCGCTTCAAAGAAAGAGGAAGTGATGTCATAGACAGGGCCTTTTATGGGCATCATAACTTTTTCTGATTGGTTGTTATGTTTCTATGCTGCTGGAGTTTTCAGTAAAGAAAGATATGCAAATATTCGCCTCCTGTCATTACTAAAATTAAGATTATTAGTACACTAAAGCTAATATAATCTTCAATTGTTAACTGTCAACTTAAAGTGAATCTGTTGCAGACCCTCAAATAG